CACAGAGTCACCTACAGCAGGTTGCATAGAATGGTGTCCAGGCTGGTTTGAATATCTCCAGAGAAGGAGACTCCACAGCCTCTCTGGGCAGCCTGTGCCAGGGCTCTGCCACCCTCAAAGTAAAGAAGTTTTTCCTCATGTTGAGATGGAATTTCCTGTGTTCCAGTTCGTGTCCTTTGCCCCTTGTCCTCTCGCAGGGCACCACTGAAGAGTCTGTCCCCATCCTCTTGACACCCGCCCTTTAGATATTGATAAGCATAGATAAGATTCCTTCTCAGTCTTCTCTTCTCCAGGCTGAACAGACCCAGGTCTGATCATCTTTATAGCCCTCCGCTGGACCTTCTCCAGCAGTCCCCTGTCTTTTGAACTGGGGAGCCCAGAACTGGACACAATACTCCAAATGTGGCCTCTCCAGGGCAGAGTAGAGGGGGAGGACAACCCCCTTTGACCTGCTGGCCACGCTCTTTTTAATGCTTCCCCCTGCCCATCTCTCTCTCCCCAAGGGCCACCTCTGTTAGGAGACCAGCACTCACAACTGGGATGATGCTACACTTACGTGCATTTAAAACAGCAAAAGGCACTGATCACACTGGGTCTGGCCCACTGGCGAACGGGATAACACCAGGCATCTCGGTTCACCTAACCGGTCATGGCCAGAGAAGGGGATTACACTGGGCGCATGTGCCCAGGGATGTTATTTTCCTGCCTCGCTCCGCACCCCGCCGCCATCAGGGGGACGGACCCGGCGGGAGGCCGCAGGAAGCAGCGGGGAGGAAGCAGCACATCCCTTGGTGGGGCCCTGCCAGCCCCGGCCCGCTCCAGGCGCCGGGCGGCTGCCGTCCCACCGAGCCATCCCTTCCTGCCTGCACGCGCTGTTCCCAGTCACCGCACGCCCTTGCTCCCAGTCGCCGCTCCCGAGAAACAACTGCGAGCCCCACCAGCTTTCTGGTTTAACGAACAAAGGCTCTTTTTTAATGCCTCGCACTCGCTCACGCAGCCCAAGGGGGAGGAAACGAAAGTTTCGGCTAATTTACAGGGGAATCCTGCCGCTGGCGGCTTGTGAGCTCCAGCTGGGCAGGGATGGCCACCAGCCTTTGGAGGCTGCAAGCAGGGCTTTTGGCAGGCTGGCACTCGCCTCCCAGCCCCACCGGGCCAAACACGGACCTCTTGTCTTGCCAGCGCTCGCTCTGGTTTGCCTTCGGGAGGCTGGAACACCAACACGGAAAAGATGGGAGAGGAAAACATGTTCATGATAAAAACCAGCTGCGGAAGAGGAGAGATTTAATGGTTTCAGAGTCTTGAAGGACCTGGTGAGAAATGACCTGTACTGCTCCGGCCCTGCAGTTTTGAAGGCAGCACACCTTTTCACGAAGGCTGCCCGGGGAGGCAGCGGAGAGGCAGGCCAGCGAGGAGACCCCAGGTACTGCCGCTGTCCGTGCAGGGCAAGGCAGCCGCTTCAGGGGCAGGCTTTGACACACATCGCCAGGTTCCTACATTCACTGGCATCAATAAGAATACGAACACGTCAAAAACCTGAATGGGCTGTTCCCAAACACAGCAGGGCTAAAACAAACTAGATGTCGCGAAGCCGCGTGGCTGACAAAAAGCAACAGCAACGTACCACCCACTGCGAACTGGCGCTTTGGGTTCACTTCCCAAGCGGGAGAAGGCTGAAGCCAAATTTTGCAAACACAGGCTTTCCAAACGGAGACCAGAATCATGCTTCCAGTCACTAATTTTAAGTAATTTTGACCGAAATTTGACCACCTGGACAGCAAGCAGCCCCAAGGCTGTTGTCTCCCAGGGATGTTGACTCAGGACACGATCTGCTGATGCCCAGAAGGCGTGCGAGGTTTGCTGCGAGTGCTGTCCCACCGGCCAAAGCTGTATCCCTATCTGTGTTTACTAGGTAAACATTCCAGCCCGATTCACTCCATCTCAATCTTTTCTGCTTCTGTTCAAGGTGACTGCCTGACATAAGAGCCCCAGCTAAAAACAGACAGGCATGACAGAGCTATGTGGACTCGCAGGGCCGGTCACCCCTACGGCCCGGGTTTTGTAAGCAGACACCTTTTGGGTTCAGAGTGACAAAGTTCCAACAGAGCAGCTCCCACCAAACATTTTTTAGCAAGAGAAAAACCTTGAAAACATGAATAAGCAACCGCTGGCAGCTTGCAAAAGGCCCAGAAGCAAACACTTCAGAGATTGTAAAAGGAGGTTTTAGCTGGCAGCGGTAGGGTAAGAGATACACGAAAAAAGAAGCCAACCCCCTCCGTCCGCTGACACCCCGAAGCACTTCTGCTGGAAGGGAAGGTGCACAGGAAAGGCGTTGTGCCGCCGCAGGTGCTGGGGCGGGCCCACCATGGTGCAGGCAAACAGGAAGCAGCTTCCGGAGAAGGTGAGGCTGGCAGACAGACCCCGGCAGGGCAGTGCTTCTGCCAGGGGGACCTGGCCCACCATCCCGCTGATCTTCTCCATCCCCCTCCCACCCCCAGCTTCCCAACAGGCCCCAACAGCCAAACCTCTTGCCATCTGGGGCTGTCAGCACACATCCCCTCCCCTCCCCGGCAGTGCTCATCCTGCTGACCCAAACGAGAGGAACCTCGCACGAAAAGCCCCAAATCCACTAGGCCTGGTGCTGTAATAAATCTAGAGGCTGCTCCAGCCACCCTGGACCACAGACACGAGAAGCACTGGCAGCACTCAAGCAGCCTCGCAGAGCCAGAATTGTATTCCTGCGTCCCCAGGGGGGCTGCAAACGGGACGGCACCCCGCTCCATCCAAGAAGGTGGTAGAATGTGGGGCAGCAGC